CCTTTTTATTTTTTTTTATAAAGTAAGGCATTAATGATGATTTTTTAATTATACATGTAAATAGGTTATGTTATCTATGAATTGCTGAGGACAATAAAGGGGACTCTAATTGTTATGAAAGGGGCCATTAGGACGTCTGGGCTGAGAGGCACAGCGACAGTCACCAGGAGCGAAGTGACTGGGTGACCAGGCACCTGCACCCAACTAGATGAGCCGAGAGTCCCCTCATCACTGTGATGCCATGTCACAGCTCCACTCTTAAGATCCCAGGACTGCAAATATCTCATGCTGTCACCAACCTGATGAACAGAAAGTACATCTTATTGTGCTTTTATATCATATTTCTCTGATCATTCCCATAATTGAGACCCTTTTTATTCATTGAACATTAGTATTTCACTTTTATGTTTCAAACAAGCAAAGAGCACTTTTTAAAAAGCACAAGTGCACACGGAAGGAAAGAGTGCAGGCTGCCCCGGGGGCGAGCAGCATGTTTCACTTCAGTCAGTTTTCTGTTGGAACAAAAAGACCTAACTTTAATAATTCTTTTGAGGAGGAATAAAGTAAACACCATGCCAGCAACATCGAAAGACCAAACCAGGAGCACAGTGGCCTCAGCAGTCAGATGGCAGACCTGTCGGAGAGGCAGATAAGCCAGGAGACAAAAAAGAAAAGCTTCTTCTTAAAATTAGACCTTAACAGTTTGTACCCAAATCTGTGGCTTACTACTCCGCAAACACCCTCCCCTCTGGCAGTCACTGTTTCAAATTTACATTTCAACTATTTGAATGCTATATTATCTAATAACATCACTGAAACCTACAAACTGTATAATTTCCAATTATTAGAACATTCTTCTAAGAAAAGTAGCCCATTCAAACTTTGAAATTACTGAGCTAAGTATGCTAAGAAGCATGTAATTTACCAACATTTGTATTTTATCAGTTCATCTCATTTTCTTTGTATTCTTCACACTATAAAGAGAATTTTCAGCTTTTGAGTAATGATCTTTGTCCTTTCACTGTGTAGTGTGGTCTGCTAAAGTTCTACATCAGCTGGACTGTGCACTGTTCTGTTTTTGTTCCTTATTTAGGTCAAAGATCTATGTTAAAAATGTGAACAGTTATATCATCATAAAAAAAGACTTAAGGCCAAAGTAATAGGGTAACAATGTGTAAGACCATGTCAACATGACCCACCAGTACTTGAAGTGACCACACTCCTTTGCCCAATAGGCTAAATTCTTTGCTCTAATGTGTTACTGTATCAAAACCCTAATGACGGGCTTTCCCTGTTTCTGATCCCTGTCATTTTAGATTACCCTGGCCAATAGCTCTCTTCACCGGCTCAAGACAGCTACTGACTAGACAAGTGCCTCCGGTCCTCATTCACCGGGTCACTACCTGAGACCCCGCCAACTGCGGCCCTTAGCTCCCCTCATTATCCCCTCCCTCCTCTTTTCTCCCAAGCTAAGTCCTAGTTCCCAATCCGTATCGCTTGGATAACACAATCTCTGTTCCTGCCTCTGGATGCCATGAAACCCCCTAACCTCTGACACCGCTCATCTCCCTTAAACCCCATGCTAGTTTCTAGTGCCTCAGATCCCTGGCCAGCTACCAGAACCTGAACAGCCTGTTCCTGTCTGGGACATTATGACAAAGCAGGAAATATCCTAGCATATGAAGTTTTGATTCTGAATGCACTTCTCCATAGATGTAATGTTACAGGCAGTCCTTGGGTCCTAAGTATGGGGCACCCAAAATTCAGTCACAGGACGATGGTTCTGGGGCAGTGGGCTGCTAACCTGGGCACCATTTTTATCAGTTTCCTGTGGGAAGATGCACTTTTCATTCCAAAAACTGACTGAGAAGACTTCCCACCTTCCTGAAGAAATTGTTCTGTGTTCTTTGAGCAGAAACACTAGATATTACAAAGAGTTGTGATCAATACCTGTTAACTGACTGACGTATTTGAGGGGGACACAACTGTATCTGCTGGCAAGGTATATTTTAAATATTAAGTTAGCATTCAAAGATCACAAGAAAGTAACTGAATTTTTAAGAGCAACTACCAGCCCCTGTTCATTATACTTACCTAAGCGAAGGCCACCCACGGCCTTTCCATCACACTGACAAATTCACCTTAAGAGAAACGAGGAAGGCTCACGTTCACCAAGACCTGACCAGGAGCCAGAGAGCTAACATGCTTCAATTTGCCGTTACTCAGCTCTGTGGCAGGAGGTACTACTAACCCTACCAGAAGAAACTACTGTTCACGGAAATCAGACATACTGATAGTTTGTTTCTAGGATTCACGATTTTTATTAGACCAAAAAAGAAAAAAAGAGACTGCACAAACTGAGATGTTTAATACCAAATCCAAATAAATCAGAACACGTAGTCTGAAGGATGAACTAGAAATAAAAATGGGAATTAGCCATACTTCAACCCAAACACTCAGAAGTAGTATGTACACTAAAACATATGCAAGGGTCGGACTCTGTTCTCACAGGCAACTCCTCCCTCTTAACTTTTAAGATTCTTGAACATATTTGGAGAGAAGTGCTTTCTCAAAACATTTCATGAGATTCAGGTGATACTCTGGGTATCAGGTAGAGTTGAGGATGGCCTGGACCATTAGCAAGCTACGCCCTGTTCTCAGGCATTCTGAGAACGTGAGCACTGTGGTCAGCTACACAGCAACGCCAGTCCTAGAAGTAACACAAGATATGACCTGATTCCCCTTTAGAACAGCTTCATTCCTTTGCATCTCAATTGTGCATAGATAAAACAAACAAACTAATAAATTGCTGCATTCCTACAAGTACCTAGAAAATGGGTACTGGCACTAATAACAACTTGCCCAAGGTACTAACTAGGAGGAATGGCGAGATCCAAGCACAATCCCACATCTACCCGAGTCCAAAGTCCATATTCTCCCCCATTTTACAATCTGAAACCAAAGACATACTGTTTAAAATAAACATTTTGTTTTCCCCTTCAATCTCTGATTTTTGATCTAGAATTAACCAAGTCTATATTAAATTTCACAATTTAGTACCTTCCATAGTAATACACTTCAAAACCTAAATGTATATATTCTCAAAAATAACTTACTTTGAGCACACTGAAAACAATTTCAACTAAAAAATATCTTGATTACAGTTTAAACAGGAAAAAGTTATTATCAATAATAGTAACAAAAAGAGCCATTTACTGCAATTTATTTTCAGGCTCTGAGCTAAACCCTTTGCATACAATGATCAAGCTTATTTTCAGTCCTTTACTCCACAGTCTATCACTAACATAAATTTTACTTCAATATTATCCAAGAGAAAAATAAACAATGCTAAAAATAGGGAACTACTGGCCAATTAAATCTAATCTAATCAGAGCTGGAATATGAAATTGATCATTTTTCTATTTTTAGGAGACCTGAAATAACTCCACTGAGAGTAGGGAGGGATACTGGTACCGCGGAAGCCAAGTCTTCAAATAAAAACCCATCAACTCTCAGCCAAGAGAAAGGAGCTCCAGCACCCCCGGTGTCTACAGGCTCTGCTCCAGCAACCAGCCCACCTCCGCGTCAGGGGAGGGTGGCGAGTGGGCCGCTCGCAGTTACCCCTACGGCATGTGTCACCACACCAATCCCCCCCACCGCCAGAGCACACGTGCAGGCACACACACAAGACACAGGTAAACAAAACCAGGGTTACCTTTTCCCAAACTGCTCTAACTTTGGTCACCTTAACACACAACACCAGAAGCTTTACAGCCCATTTCTTTTCTACCACTGGCAACAATAGGTATTTAAATAAGCAATAAGAATACAAATATTTATTACTTAGTTTTCTCAAAGGAAACATAAAGAAGCTTGAAATATACTCCAAAAGGTGCCTGCACTACACACATATGCACACACAAATCACATGACCTTCAGGAGACTGGCAAGCCAACAGAGCGTAAGACAGACCACAAGCCTGGGGACCCCGTCTGCCGGCTGACCCGTCCACCTGCCCCTGTACCTTCAACTCTTCCCAGGAAATGAAAAGCACTGTAGTAGGGCTCCTCCCTACGCACTGACCCCGTATCCATTTCCCAGATTCATCTTAAATAATCCCAAACCCCATCCCCAAATCATACCAGATTTCACTTTCCATTATAAGAATCAGCATGAATACATTTATTTTGCCAAAACAGAGACAGAAACATCTAAGGACATGGACAATGTAAGTATTTTAACAATTTAGAGACAGAAATCCCTAACAGATGTGATATCATGATAAAGTCTCAGTAAGAAACTGAAAAAATAAAATAAGGCAATATAATAGCCTTTAAGCCATAATTATGATTTTGGCTCTGTTTACTGATCTGTAAAACTGGGATATTAAAAGTACTTATTTCATATGATTATTGTGAAAATTAAATTAATACTTGAAAGCACTTAGTAGGCCCATTAAATAGTAAATACTCAGTAAATGTTAAGTGTTCCTATGGACAGTATGTCTTAAATGCACAAGTGTGTCATATAAAGAAAAATAAAAGGAATGAAATTTCTTTAAAGAATGATCCTATTATTATGATGGTCTTATTTTTCTGGTAACTAGTAAAATCTAGCACTAAGATACATATTCAGAAAAGATAATTTATCACCGCCCTTTCTCTATAAAGTTGTTTATCAGTCCTAAAATTACAGGAAAAATGGACATAAAGTTAGTAATTAATTATTCAACCTTAATTTAATTACATCATTTAGTTCAGTATTCCCAAGATTATATATTCTAAATATCATTAAGAGAATGTTCAAAGATGACATTCAAGTAATTAAAAACCTTATACATCTTTTCTCATCTTATATAAAATATCCTTAGACTAATTAACATCTTTAAAATAACCATACATTGTATACAATGATTGTATTTTAATTGTAATTAATATACTATTGTATATTACTATCAATCATCAGAATCAATGATAAAGGCCATGCTTATGTCCACTTACTGCAATCTCTCTACATGCCGACATGGATATTCCCGTGCCTTCAATTTGCTTCAGTGCATATTCCTTTTCATCTTTTCTGCGTATGAACAAAAAAAGTTATTTTTTTCTACACATTTTCAGATTCAAAAGTATAACTAAAAAAACAATGAAAATGCACTCATCTCAGTGAAATGTAAACACTCCCGCTACGCATGCACTCCTTACTATTTCTGTTATTTCAAATACAGAAATATGAAATACCAAAGGAAATTCATGTCACAATGAAAACACCAGACAGAGCCAAACCACAAAATTCAAACTGAAACAGAACAGGATACTAAACACAGCACTAGTTTCAAAAAATAAACAAGCATAAATATAAACTCAAGCATACTGCAAGATAATTCCACTCCCGTCTTAATTATCTAGAGTCTGAAAGCATTCTGTTAAAAACATTAACTACAAAAATAAATGACAGATGTAAACTCCCACATTCATTTAAAGTAATTTCATAGTATAAGAAACATTTGATAGGAGGGAGGAGCTAAAGAACGGTAACCCACTGAGACCCACTAGTTCTCAGCTAGGATAGGGGACACACAAAAGCCCCAAGACCTCAACCAAAAACCTTGTAAAGACTTCAAAACTCTAGCCATCAACATCTCATTCTCAAGAACCCCAGGAAAAATCCAGTAGTTACAGTGAATATTCCATATAATGTAGTTAGGATCAGGCATTCTTGGAAACCCCAGGAGTTACAAGGTGCTTAACCAAGGCCAGACAGTTCACCAATGGCGTGCAGTCCACAAAAACAGTAGCCGTACGAGTGGATGTGCGACACGGTCCTCGAGGGCACTGACAGCAGAACCACCCACACTCCCGCCCCAGCTCAGTCACAGATGCTGAGAGGAGCAAAATATGATCCCATGCCCTCCAAGTTTTGTCTTTTGATTATACCAGAGCCTCAGCCAGGCATCACCAGGTCACGTGACAGCCTAAGCAGCAGCACCCCAGCCCTACATACCCAGTCCCCACCTTCCCTGTTCCTGTGTTTACTAGCAGGTAAAGCAATTGAAGAGGTTACTCATAACATGCATTTGAAAACATCGTTTAATGTGCCTTTTAAGATTTTGACAGTCATCTGTATTTTGGGCAAGTAACTGAGTTATGGCTACTTTCTCCCAAAGTCACTTTGAAAATTATACCCATTTTCTTCCAATACATGGCCTTTAGGAAATAATGAAGCAGCATTTTGTCAAACAGAAAACACATCAGATATGTCAACAGGATAGACTATTATGCAAGTTTTAAAATGATAACCACAAATATCATTAGAAACATGGAAAATATTTACTATATACTGTTGAGAAAAGTGCAGTTACACCATTTAAAAATATACATACATCCAGACATATGTTGAAGGTGATATAAAAAAACAGCTGTGTTAAAATATACGAAGCTATGTTGACTAATTTTAGGTCCGAATTTATGCTATACTTCAAATTACAATTAGAGGAAAAAAGAAAAAAGCCTGAAAATAATTTGACACCCTGAAGTCGCTTACTAAAACACTTCTTAGTATTTTCATAGTGACATCTTAAGCACATTTTAAAGGGCAAAATCAAAAATAGGGAAACTTAAGTAATCATTTTTTCCCTTTTTCCATCTTGTTTCCTCCAAACATAAACTGAGCCCTCTTTCAGACCACCCAGAAGCCACCAAGTACAAGCAGCGGAATGTAAGAGACAAACAAGCCACTGTGACCTTAAATGCATGTATGAGTGTGTGTGTGAGAGAGCATTTGTGTCTGAGATGATCACACAATGCTTACAATGTCAATTTCATACATTTGAGAATTAAATTAACTACTGATACCTATTACTAGAATTTAATGAATTCCTTAAAATCATTTATAAGCTGACAAAATTTACCAGATTGTTAATTTTTTATAACAGAAATATTTCATCCCTCAGTTCCCCTAAATCAAGAGCTCCAGAAGCTCATGTAATTACATAGCTTTATTTTTAATACTGTAAAGAGTATTACATAATCTGGATAGGTTATCATCACTATGGAAACTATAAGGTTTTTACAGTAAGTCAAAAGTACAAAATTAACACATCACATAATGACTCTGACTTTCACATCCAGGCCATCAAAGGAATTTGAAAGCGCGAGTGGAGGAGACTGAAGCATGGGTCTCTTACTCTGTATCATACGGATAGGCTCTAGGAACAAACCCAGCAATTATTTCACTTATTACATATACACTTAAGTTTCTCTGCAAAATTAATAAAGTACTCAAATATCTGTAAACTTAAGATTTATATGCAGCTTTTATATTGAGAAGGAAAGAAACTGTGTATCGTTACCACTTCTCCTTCCTGTCCCGTAGTGGTCCGGTGATAAGCGGTGATGTGGCACCCCCGAGGCTCACCGTTTGAGCAGCAGAACCCCAGAGGGCATATGGGCCTTGCCTTCACCTCCTTACCGCACCACTACCTCACTGTGAGAACTAAAGACGCCTCCTCTCCCGCCACACCACGACCACAGATACCTCAATGGCTAGCACTTGGGACACAGACGCTTTATTGCTGTCAACACATGGGAGTGTCCCCCTACAGGACTTCCTTCAGGCAGTAGTGATCATTCTTACCCAGAGCTTATTATGTCTCAGGCACACATAATATTAAGGATCATAAAGGCATAAATGTATCCTTTCAATGATGAGGATAAAAGCAGGCAGACCTGGATTACACAGCCATGATAGCATAACGGAGGATTTTAAAGACAGTTTAATTTTCTTAAAACTATTTTATTTCTAAATAAAAACTGCTTGTAATTTATTATAATACTGAGAGACAAAGCAATTCCAATGCCTTTAGGAAAACTGATTTCTAAATGTTAGTGCCTGTTAGGTACTAGGATTAGAGCAACTGCATACTGAAAATAATCAAAGGAGTTCACTAAATAAATTGAGGAGAATTAAAAATTAATCAATCTGTAGTATAAACATGGGTATATTTAACGTGTATTTTTTTTTTTAATTTAAAGACATCTCTCCTGTATGTCCCTAATGCTATCAAAGCCAAGGACCGTCACTCTCGGCAATCACAAAGAAAACAACTGCTCAACAGGAACATTATGTACCAACAAAACAGAAAAATTAACTTGGCAGAGACTATGATTGTTATGTTTTCCATCTGAAACACTATGTTCTGGAAAACTCTTGATGCCAGCACTTCTAAAGACAGGAGAAAAAATAAGCAGCTCATATTTGTGCAAACTGTAGAAATCACTGCCTTAAAATGAAAGCTTTATTCAGGCAGAAAATCAGGCTAAGTGTAGAATTTAAATGTAATTCAAGGAAGAATTTCTCAAGCCTAAAGAAGAAAGTTCAGTGGGAACACCTCTTAGGAAATGTTAGGAACCGGTCTAATGAAAAAGACAGTCTTACTCCTTTCAACAGTGTCCAGACTTGGCGACAGACCTCCAATCACTTTTAGCAAGATAAAGAACCATTCGGGAGACTACATGCACAAGCACAGTTAACATTTGGCCAAAACCCCATTTTTTATATTCATAAATAGGCAGACACAGGACTTTTGGCTCCTAGCAAAAATACTACCAGGTACTCAGCCATAAAAAGTAAAGAAATCCCACCATTTGCAAGAACATGGATGGATCTACAAGGCATTATGCTCAGTGAAATAAGCCAGAGAGACAAGTACCAAATGACTTCACTCATTTGTGGAGCATAACAACAAAGCAAAACTGAAGAAACAAAATAGCAGCAGACTCACAGACACGGAGAAGGGACTAGTGGTCACCAGAGGAGAGGGGTGGGGGAGGGTGAAGGGGATTAAGGAGCACAATAATTTGCAATCAAAATATAGGTAGGTCACGGGGAAGACAGTACAGCACGGAGAAGACGATTAATGATTCTGTAACATCTGACTATGCTGATGGACAGTGCAGCAATAAAGGGGGTGAGGACTGGATAATATGAGTCAATGTTGAAACCACCGTGTTGTTTATAAAATCATCATAAGATTGTATATCAATGAGACTTAGGAAAAAAAAATATTACCAGGTGTCCAGATCACCCCAAAACCCCTATTACAAAAAATTTAGAAATAGCTTTTAAGGAAAAATAAGGCAATTCAAACTCAAGCAACGCTGAGGAAGAAGTTTTAGTCTTCAAGCTACTACGGTTAGAATCCTTTTTATTTCTAAAGAAAACAGAAGAGCCTTCCTATTTAATTTACATCAATCCACAACTACTAAGTAAATATTACACATCCCAAGACTGCCAAACTCTGAAAATGAACACAACTAGAGACTGACTACCCTCAACATCACCGAGTTCACAGTCCACCTGGGAAGAGATTCTTGGTGAGTGGGGAGTATGAACAAAATTTAACTGTAATATGACTCCCTCTGCACCCAACAGGTACACATAACAGGCAGAGAGAGAATGAGACTGCTATTTCTTTCAGAGCTTTAAGTAAGGCAGCTACATGAGTGATGCCTTTAAGAGAGGAGTTCAAGGCAGAGAAGGGGTCAGAGAATTCCAGGTAGAATATGGCATGAGAAAAATAGGAGTGGCATATTGAGGAAACCTCTGATATACAGTATGGCTGCAAGCTGGGGGTATGATGACAAGGGGCAAGAGACGGGGTTAGAAAGGTAAAGGGACCACATGAATTCTGCAAAGAAGCTGGTAGAAGGAAAGTTTTGAGGACAGAGATGGTACATTAACAGATCTTTGTTCAGAAAGATACTGTGGTAGCTACAAACTGGTGGCGGAGCAAACGTTTGATAGGTTGCATCAAACATCCAGATAAGAAAAGATGAAGGACTAGATTAGAACAGCAGAAGAGAAGAACAAATATGAATATGAAAGACACTCTTAGTGAGAACTGACCGAGTTTTTTAACCAACTTGATTCTGTAGGTAAAGGAAGACTCTGAAGATGGATGAAGTTTCCCCATTGTCTAAGTGTGTGAACGATTAACACCATTAACCAGAGAAATGATGACATGAATAAATGGAGATCTGGATATATAAGATTTTATTCTAAAAGCAATGAAAGCT